CCCCAAAACCCCAAAACCCCAAAACCCCAAAACCCCTGGACAAATACCATGGTTGAAACATAATTTTAGTTTTACACTATGGAAGATCTTATTAATAGATTCGCTGTCCCGAGTGACTCAGTCACCAAATTTTTGGTAAATAAGGCAGATCATAACGTTGTTCCATTGTATTTTGTGGAGAATGAGGTTACTATACACAACAACATTGCTGAGATCAGGTTTATTCAGTATTATTTTAACAAGGAAGAAGACCCAATTGAAGCTCAGTATGTGTTCCCAGTCCATAATGATTGTACTTTCACAGACTTGGAGATTAGGTATGGAGAAGAGATTGTCAAGGCCAATGTCGAAGAGCGCAAGAAGGCAAAAGTCATCTATGATGACGCAATAGCTCAAGGCAAAACTGCTGTAATGGGGAAACAAACCTTAAATTCTGAAGAATTGATTGGGTAAGTATACCTTCAAAAATATTTTATTTACCTATTTTGTAGAATTGACATTGGTAATCTTCCCCCCAGAAGTGAGGTCATTGTTGTGTGCACATTCCATCAAGTTATGCAAGTCGGTATGTCCCTAAATTCAATGCTAATCTTTTTAATTCTTCTATCATCTCTAAGAATCAGGAATACTAACGAATGCTTTTAGATGATTGAAGTTGGAAGCTTCATATTCCATCTAAAATAATGCCAAGGTACATGGGAGATCTTGCTGAGTATGTAAAAACAGGCAAGCATCTAAAAGGGATGGTTGAAGATCTTTATAACAATACTCCTGAAGATAGGGTAGAGATCCTATCTGAGCAGGCTGCTTCTTACTACAACTCCCCAACTTTCAATTGGAAGATTACAGTGAAAATCAACTCACAGAGTCCAATCCACAGGATCATCAGTAGAAGTCATGATTCCTTTAACATGAAGATTGATTTCGATGATGAGGGCAATACAAGAGCAACCATACAGTTTGAAGAAGAGGAACATATGTCCTTCTTTGACAAGGACTTCATCTTGATGTACCGAAACAATGAAATCAACAAGCCAATGCTGCTCATCCAGAAGAGAGACAAAGAATATGCTCTCATGGTATCCATGCTTGCTGATATAAATCCAGATCAAAAATGGAAGTTAAATGAAGAAGAGAAAATACATGAAATAGATCTTGATCCAAATGTATTCTATGAAGAAGAATTTGAAGGAGACATGGAGCCAGCAGAATTCATATTCCTTCTCGACAGAAGCTACTCAATGACAGGAAGGCCAATGGAAACTGCAAAGAGTTCTCTGATTTTGTTCTTACATAGTCTTCCTCCAGGTTCACAGTTTAATGTTATATCATTCGGCAATGATTATGAGACTATTTTTGAGTGCACAGTGCCTTACACTCAAGAAAACATGGAATATGCAACTTCAAGAATCAAGGCTTTTGGGGCTGATATGGGAGGAACTGAGATCTTAAGACCTTTGAGGCATATATTTGACAACAAATCTGACACAGATTTACAAAGACACGTGTTCTTACTTACTGATGGAGCAGTTTTTGACCCTAAAGTGTGTGTTAAATTGATCAGTCAGAATTCTAACGAATTCATTGTCCATACCATTGGTATTGGAAAATATGTCAGCACACAATTAATCATCGAATGAGCTGCTGTTGGAAATGGAGGGTACTACTTCGTCTATGATTATGTTGAAGACTTAGAAGATACAGTAATTGAAAGCTTATGCAAATGCTTTGAAGATAAAATCAAAATAATTGCCAAAGATCTTTCAGTCAATTTCAGCAAGAAAGATGAGTCCCCTAGTTTAGAATCGATAGCTTCTAGAATCCATAATGGAAAATATTTTACTTACTTCTGCATTCTTGAGGGAAAGGAAGAAGAGAAGCTTGAAGGAACACTCTCATTTGACTTGTCATCAAAGTTAGAAGGGACTCAAAAATATTTATTTGACTTAGAGAATGATGTCCAAATAATTGAAGGAGATTCCATATTCAAGATGTTTGGAAACAGCAAAATTAAGGAGCTTGAAGATAATGAAGGCAGCTGTTATAAAGCTACTCAATATGCAATTGATTATCAAATTCCAAGCAAATATACTTCTCTAATTGGTAAGATTTATCCAATAAAATGACTGAATTTCTTAACTTAATTATCTGACTAAAATCTATAGCTGTAAAGAAACTCATGGCTGATCCCTCTGAAAAATATTCGAGGATGGTTAAATATGTCAAAGAAGGTAAAAACTTATTTGAAAATACTTCACTGATAGCTAAGTCTGGCCTTTAAACTTACAAAGCTCTTTATCTTTCAAAAAAATTGTAGTAAACTTCTGAATCTTATTGGAAAATTCATAATTTATATTTGAGAAGGAGTAGCTCTGTAGCTAGACTCTTCAAACTTTCTCACACTCTGAATAGGTCCGATAGGTTTTAGCATCAAGACTCTTACAGGGAAGATTCTGAGATTTACTGCCAATTCTGATCTGGATATTGGAAGTCTCAAATGAGCGATAGAAAGAAATGAAGGAATCCCTCCAGACCAACAAGTTATCGTTTACGATTCAATACAAACAGAAGATGACGAAACGCTTGGAGATTATGGAGTCCAAACAGGAGACATGCTATACCTGCTCCTCAGATTGAGAGGAGGTGGTGAAAAACTAACCGATAGTGCTCCTGGAGCAGATTCTGATTGGCCATTAGGAGATAGCACTTATAAAGAATTCGTAGAGATTCAGCATGTTAATGGATCCTGGGATTACAAAGTACTTGACCTTGTTGGACTCACAGAAGACCAAGTTTATGATGCAGCTCCTGAAAACATTAAGAATCTTGGAGATAAAGAGAAAGTTCTCACTATCATGCTAACTTGGATTGGAATTAATAGAATCAAAACCTTATTTCCAGAAAAGCAGAAATCATTGAAACTAGTAGTAAAAAAGGCTATAACCTTTATTACAGCCCAAACAGAGCTATCCGTCACCTACGATGATATAAAATGCTCTCTTTTCTAAATAATTCCTTGAATAAATAATAACTACAAAAAAGCTAAAACCAATCATAATCTCCCATCTCTACCCATCTTCCCCTCCAAAATCCCTCTAAGTCTGACCTTCCTTCACCTATTCCTCTAAAATCCACCCCAGCTTGAAAGCCTGCCTTCTATTTTACTCCATACACAAAAACGCGACAAACCCATATGTTTAGAGAGGTTACAGGTCCTGAGGAGGTTTTTGAGCATGGGTATTTTTATAGGTGAATATTCAGTTGTGGTATCGGCTTGTGGGGTTTTGGGGTTTTGGGGTTTTGGGGTTTTGGGG